TTAGATGTATAATGATGAAGTTTCATGTTTGAGGAGAAACTTGGGCAGTTCAACAAACTAATAAAACTTACTGGGTGAACCCCTAACTGAGACTGTGGGTATCTCAAAGGCATTGATTTTCCAAATTATCCCACTGTTTCTGCATTAGAGCTTCAGGCTCAAGGAACTTCCTATCCTCTCGTTTCTTTTTTTTTAATTTTAAAGAGAATAAAAATACAATAACAATATAGACAAAAACAAAACAACACAAAAACAATGAAAATGATACAGGGTTTCAAAACAAAATGATAGGTCCTCTTCTTTCTTCTTCTATCCCCAGCACACACACACACACACACACACACACACACACACACACACACACAGAGCACATGCACACACACTATGTTCCAAGCTGGTGCTACATTCCTGTATTCTTAAGTTACACTGAGAACTACAGAGGAGATGAGGCATTTTCTGACTCTTCTCTTTGCACCAACTTAAGCCAACATTTTTCTGCAACTTGATTCTAGGGTCACTGGGAATTTGCTCTCCTGCCAGATACTGCTATGCTCTGTAGACATATCCTGATTTTTTTTAAGAAAAAGAAAATGAAACCATGATTATTATCAAAATCTTTATCCAGGCAAGGAGAAAAACATTAATGGTACTTCTGTGCCAGGAAAGGCTTCTGCCAGCCTTGGAAGTGTCTTGTGACTTACGACTATGAGCATGGACCTCGTCTATAAGAAGAGAAATTTATAAAGTATAGTTCAGCTTCAAATATTATGTCTACTGAACATAGCAGTAAACAAGTCATATCAGACAAAGATAAAGCCCTCTGGAACACATGCCAGGGCTCTGATGGCCTACACCTTTGATCCTGATATGCAGTTAAGTGAAACCAGGACTGTCTGTGGTAATTTTTTGGCTGTTGAATGGAACATTGGGATCCCTGATGAGGATACCCAGATGATACGGAAGGCTTCTTAGTTGAAGTTTTGCTGAGTTAAATGTGTCTAGAAACTCATGGATCCATGGAATTTATAGTCATGTCAGATAGATTTACTGCATACGGTTTTGGCACTGGTGCATGAAGAAAAATTGAAAATAAAGCCAACTGTTGGAGGAAGGTTTTAGAAGTGAAAAGCTTGATTCTTGCAGTCCAATATTCTGTCTGATACAAGTATCTGAGTAGTTTCCTACCCTCCAAAGGCCTTCATTTAAATCAAGGAAATTAATTCACTTTGGGAAGAAACTGTATCAGTTAGAAGAATAACAGAAGATGTAAGTGGAGGAAGAAAGTTGTTTCTGAAAATGAAAAGGAGATGGAACACAGCTAAGGGAACTTGAAGACAGTTGCTGAATTAGTATAAGGCAGGCAGTTAAAAATATATAAACAGGCTGATCTTGCAACTCCTGCAGCTTCCAGAAAAGTAGAGCAGGTAGTAGGGAAGGTGTCTAAGGACCAGAGGAGGGGTATAGGTACCATCTCGTCACTCACTTATTCAGCTTCACTTAGAAGGTCTCCAGGATGGTCCCTGTTTTTGGTCCACAAGCAAATATGTTTGTACCATCCACAAATCGGCAGTGTGAAATACTCAAGGAAATTCAATGGAGAAAATATCACATGACTCATTTATTTCAGAATTAAGAAAAGACACTGACAACCTATCCTTATGAAAGTGTCACACATTGCTCAAGTCATTGGATGGTCTTACATTTAGGTAACACACAGGCTGGCTTTAAGTTATGGGAGAAGAGAAAAATAACTGCACAAGAAAATTGGGGGAAAAAAGAGTAACTCTTTAGAATGGCTTAGAGTGGCCCAGTTAATTGTTAGGCTAATCATGACTATTAGCCACTTATGAGTGATTGCTGCACAATTGTTTTTTAACTCAACATCTAATTAAATTTGGCCCCTAAAATTATCTTTTTCATTTTTTCTTTGAGTATAAATATTTATCAAATTCATAAGATTTGGAGAACTTCTGGAGACATCAAAATATTTTGCTAAAAAATAGTTAATTGACTAACCACATGGTTCACACACCTTCATTCACCAAATATTTATTGAGCTGCTATTCTGTGCCAGGCATGAAACACAGCCATGAATAACATCTTGGTACTTACATTCAAGCTAGGAAAGACAGGTGTTCAAGGAGTACTTTCAAAAGCATAGTGAATGTTTAAATTTTAAAAAGTATTACAGTAAAAGACACTTTGCCATTAATCCCCCTCAAAACATTCCCCTCCACTTTACAAGTAGTAGTTCTGGAGTAGTTCTGGAAATCTTCTTTCGGGAGTGTTTTTACAAGGTGTGATAAAAGAGGTGGTGAACACTGGTGCCAAGTGCCATGTAGCAGAAAGGCGAACTTCTAAAAACAGTACGATGTGTCTTCATTCACCTTATTCACCAGATCTGCCATCATGCAACTTCTGGTTGACTCTTCTTCAAGTCAAAATGGCCATAAAAAGTAAATGTTTTTAACCAATCCGGGACATCAAGGAAACTATGAAAGTAGAACTAATGTATGAACAAGGATTCCCACAACTATTTCAAAAAGTAGCAAGAACTATGGGATGCCTATATTTAAAGTGAAGGAGAGTATTTTGAGGGAGATTAATGAAAATGTGTCTTTTACTGTAATACGTTTTTTAAAAAATTTGAACACACCATAACTTTGGGTCATACCATGGATGAGTTTCCTGGGGCTACTATAATAAATTACAGAAACTGGATGTCTTAAAACAACAGAGATGTATTCTCTTACAGTTCTAGAGGGCATAAATCCAAAATCAAGGTATCTTGGGGCTGGGGATTTAGCTCAGCGGCAAAGCACCTGCCTGGCAAGCGCAAGGTCGTGAGTTCGGTCCCTGGTACCGGAGGAAAAAAAAAAAAAAAAGAACAAAATCAAGGTATCTTGAAGGCAGCATTCCCTCTGCAATCTCTAGAGGAGAATCCAGTCTTGGTCTTATCTAGCTTCTAATTGTTGTCAACATTCCTTGACTTGTGGGCATATCACTTCAACCTCTGCCTCCACAGGCACATTACTTTCTCTTCTTCTGCCTGTGTTGTCTCCTTCTGCCTCTTCTTTATAAGGACACTTGTGGCTGTGTGTAGGGTCCCCACCCAGATAAACCCAGACAGCCTCAGCATAATATCCTAAAGGTAATCTCATCTTTCATCATCTGAGGTAATATTCACTTTTTTGTCTGTATATAATTGCCATAGCATCCCTTAATTATAACATGAATACTTCTGCTGAGGACCACTACTTACCTGTGACAACAAACAATATACAAATTCAATACATTCAGATGAATCAAGAACAATAAGGAAAAAAGCAGGAAGGAGAGATAAGAGAGTGGCGGAAATGCTATTTTCACTAAGGAGACAAGAGGTGGCCTTTTGAATAGGGTGACAGGCAGCAGAGACCTACTTGAAGTACATGAGAATAAAGTCTTCAGGTAGAAGGAAGGAAAAGTACAAAAACCCTGAGACTAGATGTTGTATTTGAAGAGATGAGGATGGCAAAGAAGCCTACATTTTAGAATAGAAGTGTAGTAGGGTTTAGGCAGAACTTGAATTTTATTTTTAGTGAAAAGGAAAGCCATTGGTGGCTTAGAGATAAAGAATTTCTGAGTGAACCAACTTCTATTACTATGGCTGATGTGTGGAGAAGAGATGACAGAAAGAGGGCACTGAGGTAGCATGGCCATGCAAAGAGATACTCCAGTCTTCTAGGCAGAAGCTAACTGTGCATAGGACTAAGATAGTGGTCACACAAGTATTAAGAAATGATTTGACTTGAGATATGTTTTGAAAACTGAGCCTTCAAAAGGGTCTATTGATTATATTAGCACTAGAGATTATGTGGGAGTACAGAAGATTCAAGGAAGAATCTAAGAGCTTTTTATGACGTGATCAAAAGGATAGGAGTCATAACCAACTGAGATTTGGAAGATGGAGAAGAGCAGATTAGGGAATCAAGAATTCCATTTTGAAATTTAAAATGCCTTTTATCTATCCAGTGGAAATAATCTAAGGTCAGATGGACAGAGAAATCTAGATTAGGTCAAAAGACATACACCTAAGTGTCAATGGTGAGTGGCTGGTATTTAAAATCACCAGGGAGTAAGTGTAGCTGAAGGGTCAAAAGTGAGCCTTGGAACACTCCAAACGCGTGAAATCAGGAGATTTGGACAAAGCAGGAAAGAGGCATATGGAGGGAGCTAGTGACAAACTAAAATCATGAAAGTCTGCTAACTTGGAAACATAAATTAAAAGGTGACTTGAGACGGCAGTAATCAAGTATATCTAACGCTGCTGATAGATCAACTAAGATGAAGATTGAGATTTGCCATTGAACGTGTAAGTAAGGGAATCACTAGGGGTCTTGACAAAGGCAGCTGTGGGCACAATTTTCACTTGGGGTAAGTTCATAAGAGAGTAGGAAAAAATTAAATGTTGACAATTGATTTGGACAATTATTGCAATGATATTTACTATTAAGCAAATTAAAATACTGGACACATCATGACATAACATCATGCTGGGAAAATATTTCTATTGAGAGGCAAAAGTTGATAATGCAGGCAAAGGAGTGAGTGCAAAAGGGAAGTCAGTGAGTGAGTGAGAAGAGACAGGACCCAGGACCTGCGTAGCTGACCAATCTTGCGGGGGAGCAGGACAGGTCCTCCTTAAAGCAGAAAGGAGCTCTACTTACCCGTATCTAGGTGCAAGATCTGCTAATGAGATGATTAACATGCTTTCTGATGGCTTTCACTATCCCCTGCAATTAGAAGCAAAGTCATCTGCTGAGAATGGGGAGGGTTGGATAAGGATAAAGTTTGAGAAGGTATAGAACACCATTCAGAGTGTGAATTATCCAGGAGAGCAGTGAATTGTCTAAGGAATTTTCTAGAACAGCACTGTTCCATGGAAGTGTAATGTGTCTTACCTATGGAATTTAAAATTTTCTAGTAGGCACAATGAAAGTGAAAAGAACCAGGTACAATTAATTTTAATGACACTTTATTTAACCTGACATATTCAAAATTATTGCTCCCACATGTAGTCCATATTAAAAATATTTAGGTATTTTAGGTTCTTTTAGTACTAAATGTTCAAAAGCCAGTGTGCATTTTACATTTGAAGCACATCTTAATTCATACAAGCTACATTTCAAATGCTTCATAGTGACATGTGGCCAGTGGTACCATGTTGCATATCACAAGCCTAGGACATAAAGTAGGACTAATGGGGAACACTGAGAGTCCCTGGGAGAGGGATAGAGGGAATTGGTGGCATGTACAGTAAAATGATTGTACAGATTGATGCTAAGACATAATACACAAAAATTAAAGTGGGGTGAGGAGATATAAAATGATATGAGGGCCAATGGATTGTAGAGCTGTAGATGCTATGTACCATATGAAGAGGTCTGGAAAGATTCTTGCCTTCACAACCCGCTGTTCTTGGCAGATATACCAATAGCAGTACTATGAAGTAGGTATATGATAAGTAGCAGAGGCAGTAGCTCAAAATGCGTGCTATGAAAGTTAAGGTGAGGAAGAGTTCACTTCCAATTAGGATAGTTCAGAAGGGTTCATTCAAGGTGGCAGGTAAATCTGGCCTTGAAGGATGAGGAGGATTTTAATCATATGCAGAAGACATGGTTCAAATTTTTAAAAAGTAAGCAATGGTAGAAAACCCAAAATGTTTAATGTCTCAGGGTAAGAACTAAAAAAAGAAAACCTTGAGATTGAAAGAATTATTAATTACAAAAGGGAAGGCAGGCTCTGCATAGTGTTACGTCTTTAAAGGAGAGCACTAGGATAAGCTCCCTTTGGGGGAAAAAGCCTCCTCATAAAATAAAGTCATACCCCCACCCCAGACAGAATGCCTCCTAAAACTGAGAAAAAATGATGACCAAAGAGTGCTCCCAAGAAATAAGTGCCTTCCTTCCTGCCCTCCAAGCCGTACTATCATACAGTTAGACAGAAGCTTCCCTCTCTCCTTCAGAATCCAGCTTCATATTTCTCACATTTAGTGAGTTACGTTGAAAGAGAAAACCCTTCCTTCTCATGTTCTGGAAGAAAACATTTGGAACCAGGTAGGGTTGCAAGAGGTGGGATTAAGAAGGCTTTAATTACCATAAGCACTTTTTTTAAAGATAGGGGGTGTACTCCATCACATAGGCCCAGTTTACAATGCTTTTAGAAAACAAGCTGTGCACATACACTGTAATATTTTTTTTCTAATCCAGATGCTGTTTCTGTTTAACTTTTAAGAGAGAACAAGCACTTCACCTTGTTTGGGTTCTCATACAGTCATCACTGACCAAGAGGAAGCTTGGATTTTTCTAAGTACATACAGATTGTTTTTGCTGAAAAAAAAAAAAAAAAAAAAAAGTCACCCTCTTTTTCTTTACCCAACCGTCCGTGTCTAAACGGTCATGGAAACCTACCAGTATGTCCACTCTCCTTTTTTCACAAGAATGTCCCACTTCAAAAGAATAGTTAGAAGCAACAAGAAGAGCTGGATATTTTCACCAGACTTTAATAATATTGTGCTTTTTATTCACAAATCATGGAATCTTGGTACTTCAGAGCTCATCATTTTAAATTTACAAATCAGTATATGAAAGCACAAAGTTGGGCCAGGGGTATAGCTCAGTGGCATAAGTGCTTGCCTAGCAAGCCTGATTCCCGGTACCAAAAAAAAAGAAAGCACGAGGTTTAGAACCAGTGCTTCCTTCTGAACAACGAGTTATTGATGCCAGGATTGGAAGCTGTATTTACTGTACTAACTCATGTGGCCCTAGAACTAAAACTTATTCTCATAACCAAAGGTGAAGTGCCCAGCAAGTAGAGCATGTCCTATTTATTGAATCAAATGTCCTATTTATTAAAGATAATTTTAATATAGATCTTAGATATAAATCCATAGATCTTAATATAAATAACCCTAAACCTTATAGCATACATTAATATGAGTATAGATTAAGGTATCATTCAGTGAAAATTAATACATGAATTAATAAATGTATACATGTATAATCCCATAAAGTCCACAAAATGAAATATATTTCAACTTAAAAGACAGCAAGTAGCTCAACATACTTAAATGTGAGCTACAGCTTTAAAAATTTTTCACTAGCATGCCATAGTTGTGAAGGCTACATGTACCGCTGATCAGGCTGCTGCATGTCTCCTTGTTGGGAATAAAAATGTCCTTTGTCTGCTGATGCACTTAGGAAGACAAGGAACCCAGTTCTCTTAACATATCTGTGGCTTCCATCCTGATGCTTTTAACCTCATGTGTCTGGGAGATTCTGTAAGATCTGTCTCAGGGAAGCGCAGGCAACCATGTGGGCATCTGAAGGAAGATTGGCAAGTGACTGAATCAGCTTCTTGACTATTGTCTTCAAACACTGGTGGGCAGCATTCAAGTCTCTGTCAAACTGCTGTCCTTCGATTTGTAGAGCCAAGTGACTGCAGATGTTTCTAAACTCAACACTGTCCTGAAATAAACAGTAAATACAAATAGGAAGTTAGACGACAGGAGCATTGCAGTGCTTTACTTACCCAGCATCCAGAGATTTCTCAGAGAACCACCCTCTTCCAACCACAGCCTATGTAGTTTGACCAGAGCTGACTCTAGCCACTCCTCTTGGAACCAGCCTCATTGAGTATCTTACTTCCACCCAAGCCATGTGGGCTTTCAGGACTGGAGAGCTGACCCAAGCTACAGACCCACATGTGCTAGGCTGGGAAAGAGAAGCCCTCTCTAACTAGAGCTGTTAGAAAAAATCTTGCCACCATATGAAAAGAGTCCAAATGAGGATTAAGCCAGCACAAAAGAAAGCAGAACCAAGTGGTTAAAAGAGATAGCCTCTAATTAACTTTCTTGAGCATGTGAACGATATACCCCAGGATTTTTCAGCTATCTGAGTTAATAAATATCCCTTCTTTGCTTGAGCCAGTTAGGATTGAGATTCTATTATTTGTTCTTAAAAGAGCTGTGACTAATACAAAAATAGTTTCTATTCCTATTATTCCATATGTACTGTGTTCAAGATTCCAATATAGAATTCATTATTTGTGAACATTGTTTTAAGAAATGTCAAATGCAAATTTAGACAGAGTAGTTCCCAGGTGATTTAAAAGAATGAAGTAATTCAACAGGTTTTTAAAATCCCCAAATGGTTCACATTCTAAAATCCATTGCAAATAAATAGTACACTAACATTTTTCCACATGAGAGAAAATTTTGAAAATATGGTCTCTTTTAAATACAGGAACATAAGCTTCCCCAGATTTCTGCTTTTTGAGAACACATTTAGTGTCCCCTAAAATCCCATGTCACTTAATTCCTACAATTCTAAACAAAATAGAACAAACATCCTTTCTGAGATTGTAAGAGAGTAAGAGAAATGCTGCAATGTCCAGAAAGGAAAGCCAGACTATTTTAGCTGTCTGCCAGTACCACCAAGAAAAAAAAAATCTCTCTTGAGCTAATTTAGGATAGGAGGTAAAGCTGTGCCTGAGACTGTGTAACTGTGGACCTGCACTACGCAGTACAGATACTTTAAATTTGGAATCATCCTCTACACTATATTTATATCTTGGGAACACCCATGCTATGAAATTAACTTGACAATTTGAACTGGGCTGAAATATGTATGGACACACAGCAAAAGCAAACAAAAGTTTGTTCCAGGGAACACGTCCAAAACCCATGCCCCGTAATAGTATTCTCATAAGCCTCTGTCAAAGATGAACTCAAAATATGAAATTTAAAATACAGTCTACCATGAGATGGTAGATGCATTGGCAGGATCAGATGCCAAGAATTTATAAGAGACCATAAAATATGTTTAAAATGGTTAAAGATGTAAAGGAGGAATTTATAAAAGGTTTTAAGAAAAAACAGACTTGAAAAAGAACCAAATAACACTTTTACACATCACAATTATAGTGATAAATTAAAAACTCTATGGACAGCTTCAATCACCTGATTACATTTGTCTGAAGTGAGGATTAGTAAGCTGGATGATAAATATGAGAAAATGATCCAGAATGCAAGATAAAAAAGTTAAAAGTATGGGAAATATGAAGAGGAAGTTAAGCAACTTGGATGACAGAATAAGAGAGTCCAATAAAAACATAGAAAATAGGAGAGAAGCAATATTAAAAGCAAATAATGAAGGAGGGTTATCTAGAATGAACTAAGGTGTGAATCCTTAGGTTCAGGAAGACAAATGAGCCTGTGAAGAGTAAGTTCAATGAGATCCAAATTTAAACTCATTCAAACAAACAAACAAAAATCTGGAGAGGGTGGTACTAGGAGTGCTTTACTACTGAGCTACATCCCCACCACATTTGTTGTTGTTGTTGTTGTTGTTGTTTGGTCTTTGGGAGAGTTTTTTTGGAGACAAGGTCTCTTTAACTTGCCCAGCTGGACAACTCCTAATTCTCCTGCCTCAGCCTCTATAACTACTGGGATCACAAGCATGCCTCACCTTGTCTGGGCAGAGGCAAAATTACTCTTACAAGCAACCAGAAAAAAGGTTAGATGAGATTTAACAAATGATAAGGCAGTCTCACTGTAACAAATAAGACAGAAGAAAATGGAATAATATATTGAAATACAGTAGCTGTTAATGTAAAATTTTTAAACCTATTAATCTATTATTTAAAACTTGGGGCAAAATACATATACTCTCACTTAAAATGACAGAAGGAGTTTACTAGTAATGGACACTCACTGTCAGCTCTTTCTCAGGATTAGATTCAGCAAAAGAAATTCAACTCAGGGGCAAAAATGAAATGTAAGAAGCAAGAGTGAACAATAAACTTAAATACATGATAGGAATCTAAAGAATTGGTTACAGAAACAAAAATAATTAAGGGCTTACAAAAGCAAAATAGTTATAAAATGCAGAAGATACTTAACACGTACAATGGAATGGCATTCTAAGTACTAGATTTTTCCAAATAAAGATGGGAAAACTGATAAATTTCAGACTTGAAAAGTATATGTGTGAAGCATATACAGATTATCATTAAAAGTAGAGGTATGAATATATATATATATATAAATGCATAAAACTTCAAATCAGCAGAAGAACATGGTATATTAAAATTTTATTGATCCTATTTATAGAAGGTAAAAATGTGGAAATGATGGCACAAATATAAAGCAAAGTAAATAGCACTAAATAAGATAATAGAAGTAAATCTGAATTTATCCATAAGCACAATAAGTGCAGACTGATGAAACCATCTTTTGAAAAACAGTGTTTACCAGACTTGATTTTAAACATCTATCTATATGTTATTGATAAATAACACATTTAAAACTAAAATCACATAAAGGTTGAAAGCAAATGGATATGAGTATAAAAGAAGAGAGAAAAAAGCAAAGAGAAGGCAAAATACAACTGGAAAAAAGATCATTTGGGGGATGAAATAAACCTTACAGCCTTAATATACACTCACTCTACCAACATAAAGGCTTATTTTAACTCAGCTTTCTCTGAAATTGGTGAATCAAACAAGAAAACAATCAACATGTACATAAAAGACTGAAAAAACACTGAGCAGAATTTTGAGCCAATAGAAATAAGCTAAGAATTCAGTTCGATAGGTTAGGGGAAGAACAGATTAATCCTGAAGAAAATGAAAGGAAGAACTAAAAGTTGAGGCAAAGTTTGATTAAAGACTATAGTTTTCTTCCTCATTTTCTGTAGAAAGAGACACTATTTTCCCCCAAGAAAAACCTTGTCACTTGGATAATAAAGACCTGGGTTTCTGAAGAAGTGCTTATTTGACAACATCCCTAAAGAATCAAAGCAAATACCCATTTATTTCAGTTCTGCAAACAAAGGCAGCAGCACCACTGTGCAAGCTGGAAGCTGGGGTAGACGGATAAACACGCGGCAGCCCCTGTCCTCAAGTGTTCCCAACCATGGAACGGGTTTTTTCTCTTTACAGCACTCTTATTTCCTACTTTTATGTGTTGCTCATTTCTGTTCAGATGTCAAGGGGATCCTTAGATAACCTGTCCCTCAGTTTATGGGGTAACCTATGGTACCGAAGTGTATTTCTTGGGAATGGGAAAATAGGAGGAAAAATTACTGTGGACTGTTTCTCCCAAATCCACACCAAAGAAAATTGTCTGCTTGCTTTATAGAAGTAATCCAACTCTAAGTACAAAGTGGAAGGATCAAAGAAAACATGCAAAGGGAAATTCAAAATAGGAGCCACTGAGACCCGTGCTGACGTGTGCCTATTAGCCAGTCTGCAAAGGCATTCATCACCTAGCGAAGATTAAAATGCCTTTAAAAAATATAGTTGAGTGCCTAAAATCTGAAGTCAATTTCACATTTACTGTTAAGAATCAAAGAAGGCATCGTTTGGGAAAATTACATGTATAATAAAATTCGACTGCTGGACTGTACTGGTCCCTGAGGCCCTGGGCAAACTTTAGCTCTCTGGCAAGCTCTGCAAGGTCTCTTTATTTTACTATTCTAGTACAGTATTTCCTTCTAATCCTTTCTCAAATATATTAACAGTCAAAGAAAACAAATTAATAGGAATAGGCTTTCCATGGGACTCTTAAGCCAGGGGAGGGAAAAATAAAACAAGTGATTGCTTCTCTTTCTTTCTAGAAGGTCTGAAGTCCAACCATGTATTCAGTAATCATTACCTGCAACCAAAGCTCTGCTACTTCTGCTGTAGAAGGTGGAAGTCACAATCATGGTGTTAAGAGAAGAGCCTGTTTAATGGGTCACAGACTTTCAGTAGAAACTTACACGATCAATACTGATGATGATTTCATTTAACAGTGTTTCCATTCACTGACAGAGCGTATCCACCCAGCAGCTTGTATTCAGTAAGTCCCAGATACTCCCAAAAATGATGTAATATCCTACACTACACTTTGAGCACTTTGTCAGAATTAGAACAATATGGCTGAGCAATCTAAAGCAGGTTTTAGAACTTCCAAAGCATTATGTAATTGCAGGTTTGGGGTATGAAATGTATTGATGGCTACAACGGTCCAAATTGATGGCTGATATTTATCTTTCCAAGTGAGTTGAAATTCTCTCCCATGACTCCACTGATCTACTAGGATGATTGCCTGGATCTGTTTAATTCAGTTAATCAATTAATTGAATTTATTTCACATGTATATCAAACCTCTGCTACATAACTGACTACAATGGATAAAAAGCAGTAAGACATGGTATCTGATCTCTAAAAGTGCTTATAAGCCAGTACAGGAAATGAGACACAGAGATCACATATCTAAATATTCAATGAAATATAAGGGGTGTGGTAAATATCACAAAATCTGAACCCTGTAGGAAAGCAGATAGGTATACTCTCACAATCTAAGCATAGCACAGGGTTCCTACAAAGCTGATATGTGAAGCAAAGCTGGAATTTACCTCTATTTCACCATTCCACTGTTCATCGAAGACCCATCCCAAATTACAAACTGAGCCCTAATGAG